AGGTCTCCTACTCAAACCAGGGTAAGTGTAGGTCTCCTACTCCAACCAAGGTAAGTGAAGGTCTCCTACTCTAACCAGGGTAAGTGTAGGTCTCCTACTCCAACCAGGGTAAGTGAAGGTCTCCTACTCAAACCAGGGTAAGTGTAGGTCTCCTATTCCAACCAGGGTAAGTGAAGGTCTCCTACTCTAACCAGGGTAAGTGTAGGTCTCATACTTAAACCTGGGTAAGTGTAGGTCTCATACACAAACCAGGGTAAGTGTAGGTCTCCTTCTCCAACTAGGGTAAGTTTAGTCATCATTATTCAGGTGACTGTACTGAAGATATAGACACTTATATTACTGAAAACATTATGATATTTACATCAGCATTAATTGCAAATTTAGAAACATGTATGTACTGTAGGGACCAAACGAACTGTTCGACGAATGAGGGGTATTCGAGTAAACCAAGTTTGAGGAAGTGGGGTTTTACTGTATGTAATTACGGTTAGCCAAAGGCTCAATTGACCTATTATGATCACCTTTCGTTCGTCGTCGTACTACAGTATATTACTCTATATGGAAGGAAAGTTCATCAGGGGCTTTATCTAAATTGTAAATTTCATTACCTCCCAGCCTTGGAGAGGGGGTAACATTTTGTTATAGTTTATACAGAGAAATGACACTTTTGTGTATATTTTGTCCATTTTCAGCAGGAAATTATTCAAACTTGGTTGGGATAGTTTTAATGAAATGGCAATTAGATGATATGAGAAAATAAGATCCGTCCCTGCCCCAGGAGCTGGAGAGGTGGGTCCCAAATGGGGAAAATTGTTAAAATTTAAAAAAAACTTCCTCAGACTCAGATGTACTACAATCTAATACCCTTAATGTATTGAAAGGTCCCTAGGTGCTTTAAGTAAATGTCATTTCCTTGGAGTCATCTGTGCTCCCTTTTTGGAGAGGGTAAAATTTACTATAGTTTATCAAACGACATATTTATCTGGGAAATAACACTTTTGGGTATATTTTGTCTCTTCTCTGCCAGAAATTATTCAAACTTGGTCGGAATAGTTATGATGAAATTGAAATAAAATAGTATCAGAAAGTAAGGTCCTGACCTACCCCTGGGGTTGGCCAAAGAGGAAAATTGGCTAAATGACAAAATAAATATCATATTTTTTAATAGAAAAATATTTAATTTGAATAGATTTTAAAGTTTTTTTCCTTTGGTGACATGTCAAGTATTGAATTTCACTTTGTTCCACTTTACATCTCAACAATGAAATAAAGTAACCTATAATATAACTCAGGTGACTGTCCAGGCCCCTGGGCCTCTTGTTTAACATTGGTATCATAATGAACACAAATCAGTTTTATCCATATCTTGTCTGTAGGCCCTGCTGGTTAAACGTGGCCTGTATAACATTGGTATCATAATGAACACAAGTCAGTTTTA